CTTTATAAATACGAGTATATTTCTAGTACTATAACCTGCACACGTTATCGAGTTCGGTAATACAGAAAACTGAACCACCGGCTGCAGGCGAATAACGAGCGATGCAATCTGCATGCTGTAAATTATAGTTCCTGCAATCTAGCATGTGTTTCGTAGAGTATTTATGGCCCGCCCTAAATCTCCTGCTATCTGGAATCTAAGGTTATTGCACCCTCCAGATAGGGCTCCTTTCTTCATGCAGCGCACGTCACACGCCCGCCGCGATACATCAATACAATACTGCATGCTACATACACTGGTGCGTTACCTAACCACCCGCTAGAGCCGCAGTGCTAGGCTATGGAATGGAGGTGTCTCTTCTGCACGGCATCATGACCGCCTCTAGAGCCCACGCTGCCTCCTGCAGGGGCAAACTGGCCGGGGCGTGAAGCTGACTACTCGTCTCTATCTGGTGCGGAGGTTAAGAACGTGGAACTTTGTGCCTACCTCCACAATTAGGCACATCGGTCGGGGCACCGTACGTTTCTGCCTTTGCGAGAGCACTGTCGCACATCATCTTCATCATCTTCACTGGCGCCACAATGCTGTGTGGGCCTTGGCCTCCTCCATCAGCTCCACGCCCAAGCATCAACCTGGAGGACGAGGGACCACGTCTCGTTTGGCCCCTACCTTTTGATTTGTCTGGAATTGGTGAACTACCAGGAGCTAATGCTCCCGCCAGCATAGCTCTCCAGGTCATTGGGGCACACAAAGGCGGTAGTCCGTGAGAACGACCATCGAACATATTGTCACGTGTTAGTGACTACACGCGGGGTTCGGATTGGTGACTCGATCTATTGACCACTTATACACACAACTCGTGACACTTAGAGGTCAGTATAACACACAGATTTGTGTCCTCAGTCTATTAGTCTCCACTAGCCGTTGTCTGCTAACGGCTTCAACGGCGGACGTTCCCCTTACTTTGGGTTAGAAGCTACCAGCTTCTAACAGCAACAGCTCACAACTGAACTGCAGTTCCCTGACTCTCAGGCTGGCCGTCATCTCACACCGACCTTCTAGCCTTCCCTTCACAGACTAACAACCAAGCTCTAAACCTCCTCTCGTTTATAGCCCTTCGGCACGGACCACGTACCAAATACAACTATTCCGTTGTTCCAATCATATCCATGGGAACGTGCATGGCCGCGAAGGCTTCACCCAGCAACAGCCGCCTATACTTTCTTATTAATAATCTGTTGTCTAGCAACGGACGTTGTTCCGTTGTTTGTTTCGCGGCCGTTGCCTAGAAAAGAATGTTGTTTCAGAGCCGTGCGCTAGCAACGGCTCTTTCTCTGGCTCCACAGTTCTTGCTTTGTGCTAAGATGCCAAAATATTTTTTAGAAATAAAACCGCTGCTTTTTGTGAACCCTTTCGGGAATTGTCTCTTAACACTTCCTTCTGTTTCTCTGTTTCCACTATACGTTAACGTTCAACTTATATTGCGAAGAAGTCATGCGTATTTTTATTTCACTCCAGAGATGACAGTTCATCAGTCTTCTCAAGAACCAAACGTCAGGCCACAAGGATTGATGTTTCTAAGCGAGATATCCCGTGCGTAACATGAAAGCAGTCCTCACTCTTGCCTTCAAGTAGGTACACAGAGTTCTTCAAGAGATTTCCTTGACGTGTTAGCTGATTTAGAGCCTGATGTATGCTTGCATGTCACATGTCTTCACGAATTTGAGTCACGTTTTGCGCTTACATCGCCGTGCTATGTTTACCAGATTGAGACAATGACACGAGGAACAAGTTCTGTCTCTCTGCCCCTAGAACGCACCGGCATCCCGCAAACAGCAGAACAGACGACACTTTCAGACGAGAATGCACATTGGCGGGACCGCCTCTGTGGTCTATTGGTCAGAATTCCTGCCTACAGATCCATAGGTCCCGAGTTCGATTCCCGGCGCTACCAAATTTTCTGAGAAATAGTGGGTCTGGAACGGGGTTCACTCAGCCTCGTGAGGATAACTGAGGAGCTATTTCAAGGGAAATAGCGGTTCCGGTCTAGAAAACCGAGATTAACGGCCGTGGGGATCCGTTGCGTTTACCACCGTTGGCACTAACTTCGCCAACAAGAGGCGGTCGCTCGGTCGGGATAGTTCGCTTGCGGACTGCAGGCCACGGAGTTTCCTTTTGATGTTCACTGGCGTTACGACGTACCGCTGTGGTAACCTCTTTGCTTGTGTGCTGCTGGACATGGCGTCGAATGGAAGGATGATAGTTGAATAATGAATTAGAAAGGATTTGGAAGGAAGTGGTCGTTACCTGATAGAGATATTATCTCGGTATTTGTCTAGCAGATCTGAGGAAAACAACGTAAAACCTCAGTGTCAGGATAGCTGGTGTTCCGGCCGAGATTCGAGCCCGGAACATCCACGTTAAGGGCCAGGAGCGCTGTTGCTTGTGATTTAGTGTGACGTAAGCAGTGACCGCCACTCTGCCGGACGAAGAGAGCGACGATGGCACGCTTCGGGAGCTGTGAACATTTCATTTAAACGATTGGGTGTAGAAGTCAATCGACTGATTATACAGATAGACTGGCGCGCAACGGAAGGAGAAAAGCAAGAGGATAATCAATAAGTTATGAGAAGACCTGTTCGCCTACTTCCCTTTGATACGACACGGACCTCACAGAAAACGACGCGTCTAACAACTGTTCTGTTGTTGTCTGTGTATTTGTCGCTTCAGTAACGTTTTTACGGAGCCGTTGCTTAGTAGCATACTCATACAGACACACTGACGGAAGAGATTTACGAAGTTTTCCTTTATGACGGGCTCAGGTGCCATGACATACATGTCAATTTTCATGAAGACTGGTTCAGGTTTTGAAAAGTTGATGGGGGGATACTCAGGCACACAGCATGGAGATCGCATAAGCCTACTTAAGGAAAGTAGGCTAAGAAGGAGAAAAGAAGAGGGGAAGGAAGAACGGGTGTAGGCCTATGGAAGCAAATAAGAGAAATTGCTTACCCAATCACTTGCCTCCCCATAGCCCCAAAAAACGTAACCGTTCCCGTAAAACAGTATGGAGTACGAACACCGCAAGAGAGCAAGACAATGCAGTGTTGAGTAACTGGAAACAAAGCGAGTGCGTCAGCAGACCTAAACACTGACAGTGCAGAAGAGGAGTAGTTCAGTTCCTACCTCACAGAAAACACACTGTACCTCCATTACATAGACCAGCCAGTTAATGCTGTTTACGGCGAAATAGTCATGGTTATTCTGAGAAATATACTGTGACATGCTGAGCTATGGATGACGCCCCTCCCCCACCCCCCGCCAGCCGTGATGCGCCGAGCGAAGCCGAAGCGAGCCGATGTTAGCCGAGTCCTAGCATCCTGGTCGCTAGGCAACGCGAGTCAACAGCGGTGACGTCACCAAGTAGTAACAGCGGTTACTTCCGCTAGCGTTACTAGCAACACAGCGCCAGGCAACAAGGGTGCCTATTACGTGGCCGTTTTCCGTATTGTCCGATCGAGGCTACATAAGGAGCAGCGAAGGCTATTCACAGTCAGTTAGTCCTGGAGCTACCGCCGAGTGAGTCCTCGAGCTACCTCCGAGTTAGTTCCGAGTTAGCCAGCAACTAGTCAGTTGTATTCTGGCATTTGGAGTGTAATATTTGTGATACTGCAGATAGCAGTAATCGTAAATCTGTAATTTGGGTGACTGTAAGTGCGAATGTGAAATAAAATTCGCTATATAAAATACGGCGTGAAGTTATTTGTCGCGATATACGTCCGATACGCGACAATACGATAGAATTAAATACAGGCAATGCAAAGATTCGTTTTCATTATGAAGAACTTGGGTTCGATTCCCTCTTTATATGGGTGATGCCTTGTGCTCCTTCTTGCGTTCCACGCCTGAAATTGCGCCACTTGGGCGAGAAATTACACGCTTCGCCAATCCATTTTCTTCCACGTCCCATCTACGTAATTTATGAAATAATTTCATTTCTCTGACAACAGAGGCCTTTATACCAAATAAAGACAGAAACAAGAACGCGAGAAGTAACAAGGCGCATAACATTAACATAATACATTAAATAAACATGACACCGAAAAAATTGTGCGGAAATTTTCCACGCCGTGAACACCTCAAATCGCATGCAAGTAACGTTGCATAGTGCCTATATTTCTGCCTTCTACTTTCGGGATAGCTCAGTCGTAGCGACGGGTTGGACGTATTGCGTTCGATTCCCGGCAGGGACAAGATTTTTCTCTTCTCCGTAACATCTCGACCGGCTCTGGGGCCCACCCAGCCTCGTGTCCAGTGGTTACCGGGGTCTGTTTCCCAGGGGTAAGGCGGCAGGAGTGTGAAGCTTCATCTAGTTCGAGGCCAGGAATGGTGGAAATATACCTACACTCCCCCATACGTGTTTATGGCGTGGTGGTTAATTAATTAACCACAGGAGCTTCTCACTTTTCTTTACCTTTTACTGTAATCAACCCAAGCACTATGAGTAGCAACATCACATATGAACAGCATCTACACACATCTTGAAGAAGCGAGGACAAGTGACACCCGTTCCAGAGTTCACACACTTTCAGACAACAGCACCTCGTCACACAGAAACACCTCACCAAATTTCACACACAAGAATTAAGTTTGTAATTATTTATTTCAAAATGCGTGATACATAAGAGCTGGAATAGCTCAGCCAATAGAGGGACTATAGTACAGGCTGGATTATCGAGGAATCTGGGTTCGGTTCCCAGCAGAGACAAAGTTTTTTCTCTACTCCACAGCACTGAGACCAGTTCTAGGGCCCACCTGTCTCCTATCCAGTGGATACATGAGACCCTTTCCCCAAAAGTAAAGCGGCCGGGACATGAAGCTGCCCTGTCACCTCCTTGTAGTGGCATGGTTTAAATGTGTGGAGCTATGCCTCCACTCACCAACACGTCTTTGTGGAGTTGCGCTGAAACTGGACCTTTAATCGTTCATATTGTACATACCTTGCTCATCAGTTAAACATCTGAAGCCTGAGTCCAGTCCAGTAAATTTCTGCTGGCCCTCGCCAGCACAGTCATTTCTGGTTCCGAGTCTCGCTGTTCAAGTCTTCAGACTGTCTCTCTGAAACCTGCCTGCTAAATTGCTGCTTGTCCCTCTCAGTAGCTCACAGGAAACATTACGTCACCGCTACAAAGCCCAACCGGTTACTGCTGTTTGTTGTGAGAACCATACGGAACATACAGACACACTCTGTGGGCAGAATGCAGAGTTTTAGTACGTTCAGTCCGTACCTCGCAGGAAACATTACGTCACCACTACAGAGCCCAACCGGTTAATGCTGTTTGGGAAACAGTCGCTGTTTGCTGTGAGAACCATACGGAACATACAGATACACTGTGGGTAGAATGCAGAGTTTTAGTACGTTCAGTCCGTACCTCACAGGAAACACTACGTCACCACTGCAGAGCCCAACCGGTTAATGCTGTTTGGGGAAGCAGTCGCTGTTCACTGTGAGAACACTCTGTGGGTAGAATGCAGAGCTATTTAGTGATCAGACATATGGTACATATAATAACCACTGGGCTCTAGAAACACATCAGCATGGAATATCACTACTGCATGTTAATACCTGTGCTTATTGTCGCCTTCAAATCTCAGTACAGCATAGAACTCAAGTGGTCAGGTTCACGCTCCAGCCGCTCTTAGAAGACCTGCTGACTTTCGGACCAGATACGGATACCGTGGTGACGTGATGAAGTAGAGTGCCCACTGTCGAGGAATCAGGCTCCTGCCGTCCAGTTCATATCACGACTGTTTATGATGTAAAAATTTTCATTTAAAAATCTGTGTTTATTCGCAATACAAATATCTTTCAATTTTTGCATTGGTCTTGAAACTGTTTTCATAGCTATATTGGTCTCAGTTAAGTTAAAATAGGCTCGTAGAAATTAGACCAATTCTGGTTAATTATTATTCAACATCATAATCACCATTTAACTCAAAGACATGTTGCAGTTCTGTACCTATATGAGTGATTTATTTACGTTTTTGTGTGCTGTAATTTCAGGAGTTTCATATGAAACAAACAAAATATTATTTTAATGTATATACCATGAACTAAAATTGTGTAGGATTTAGTTGTCGTGGTCTACTTCTAAATACTATCCCAAAATTCGTTTCGATAGACAGGAATAAAGTCATATGTGACGCGTCGAGTTGACTACCTCGTTAGCAGTCTTCTTAACGGTTCTTCCAGCCCATTCAGGGCCCAAGCGTCTTATTCAGTTCCGTAATCATTTTCCACGGTCGGCAGGGCTCCTTGGACGCGTGATCAGCCCACCGCAAGGCCGCTACCTAAGCATGGGACAACACAAACACAGAATAAACGAATACACACACCAAACATCCATGTCCTGAGTGGGATTTGAACCCACGATCACAGCTTCCGAAGACAGTTCATGCCGCCTTAGACCTCGCGGCTACTGTGATCGGCTCGCTAGCAGTCTATCGATATGTAAATGGATGCACTGCCGTCTGACAGCAAGTTGCTGGGGCAATAAAGCACGCTTATAGCTTGTTCACGCCATTTACGTCTCTCCTGGAAGCTGCAAAAAGGAAAGAAATCAGAGATGACTTCATATTTAAAATTATTTTCACCCGAGGTCGTTGTCCTTACAGCAGCATACCAAGTATAGCTTATAATCAGTCCTCACACGATGTCTCACACCTGATCACTCACATAAAAAATAGAAATAAATTAAAGGTTTCGCGAAACCCTCCAGCAAGCGTGCTCAGAACGCACATGGCCGACCATGAACTTGCGCAACGCAGCCGGCAAATATTTGTAGTACACTTGAAAGTTAAAAGAAGGCGACACTGTTGTGAATTATTTGCCGCCATTTTGTTATGGTCGCTGGAACTAATTCGATGAAGAAAATTACCGTTCTGCCCTTATAATAATACCCCAAGTGAATGAAGTATTACTATGTAGCAGTTGTGAGGTGTGATCAGAAAGAAACCGACGGGTGTAGCAAATCCAGTTCAGCCATCTTTAATGTCTTTCTGCTTGGTTCAATGCGTGCATGTGTACAAGAGCTGTTGCCACAAAATGGCTTACTTATTTAACCGTCGATTAACTGAGGATTATTAAGGGTCTCTTTAAATTTGCAATGAGAAATTTAAGCTCAGATTCCATATGCGTTTTCCTTATGTATTTTTGTATGCTTTCTAGACTCACGTACCGAAATTGTTGCTAATTTATTTATTTAAACCCTTTCACACACACAAACATACATGGTGATCGTTTAATCGTACGTTTATTTTTTCAAAATAAGGAAAGTAGGCCAAAAATAAACAAAAAGTAAACTTAAGTCACTACCCTTTCTTTCCACGCCCTTGGAGTTAAATATTCACTAACTGTCCTACCATTCGACACTACGTAGTCTGAGTTACTGACAGCGTCTTTGAGTAAACCTAACTAACTAAATAAATAAATATACACAGGCCTACTATCTAGACTACCTGCCTGCCTACCTATCTATGTATCTAGGCCTGTACAGTCCTTCGTTGGACCATGGCCGCTTTTAGTTTCTTAATCCTATACACAGCTAGTAGGACTCCTTGGATGGAGTATCAGCCCGTCGCAAGGCCGCTACATCCACACAGAACATCACAAATAGTGAATTAACGCACACAGCCATCCATGCCTTGAGTGGGGATCGAACCCACGATCTCAGCGTTCGAACAAAGTTCATACCTTAGACAGCGAGGCTGGCGATTGCATAAAAAGAAATTTCATTGTAGTCTCTTTCCGGAAGATTGCGATGTAATTGCGAAATGCAAGGCTGTAATCACGGAAGGATGTTTCTACACATTTTCCTGCAGCAGCAGATGTCCAATGATGATCTGATCGTCAATTCTTTGAAACGTATTTTTGCCCCACTCTATAAATGCCATGCGTCGAAAATTTCGACCTCTAAAACGACAGCTATAACTGACAGAACGTTGCCAGCGGTTGACAAGTTATTTCACTTACATAGTCAGGGAATGTGTGGAGTGAGCATTGACTTACATCTGAAGTTTATATAGGCCATGGGATTTCAAGTTGAGACGTCTAGGGATGAAGATAGACTTGCATCACATTTGTCGCTGAGAAGGCTTGAGTCGAGCTGTAACGCGCCTAGGAGAATTCACATTAGCGGACACATGTAAAAGGTATAGTTTTCGCTGTGCTTAATTATCGGGGAGTGGAGGTATAGCTCCACCATTCTTGATGCGGGCACTGGATGGGAGTGGTCGGCTTCACTCCCCAGCCTCTTTACCTCCGGGGAAGAGCCAACGGAACCCATTGGATATGACGTTGGGTGGACCCCAGAGACGGTCTGGACAAATTCCTGCCCCTGAGGGGAATCAAACCCCGACCGTCGCACACCGGATCTTTAATGAACCCAGGCAGACTATCATTTCAGGTCGTCTTGTTGTAGCCTAGAGCATGTAGCGGCTGCGAGCAAGGTGATTGATGACATCTGCAACACTGGGTTTTGTGTGTTACATTAACACATTCCAGCCCACGAGATGTGCTAATTAGACGCTGATTGATCGCGGCGTGGATTGGTGCAAATTTATTCCCGTTCATTTTCCTTGTTTTTATTTCTCGCTTTTCTTTCTACATCTCCAACAGCCAACCGTTTATCCAGTTACACAGCCAACAGTTAGCCAGTTACAGTCAACCAGCCAACCAATAGGCAGTTACACCGCCAACCAGCCAACCGTTTAGCCAGTTACACCGCCAACCAGCCAACCGTTTAGCCAGTTACACCGCCAACCAGCCAACCGTTTAGCCAGTTACACAGCCAACAAGCCAACCGTTCAGCCAGTTACATAGTCAACCAGCCAACCATTAGGCAGTTACACAGCCAACCAGCCAACCATTAGCCAATTACAGTCAACCGGCCAACCATTAGCCAGTTACAGAGCCAACCAGCCAACCGTTTAGCCAGTTACAATCAACCAGCCAACCATTAGGTAGTTACACAGCCAACCATTAGGCAGTCACACAGCCAGCCAGTCATACAGTTAGCTCTTCCTCATGGCTAGTCACACTGCTCAGAACCCCGAGCCAATCAATGCAGTGGGTCTCAACAGCTTGACATGTATACCTACTAAACTGGCCGTTGTTACTTGTCGGCCATATTAATGAGGTCTGGGTGTATCACCTGGGGCACTACCTCCATTTTTTGTTTCTTGTGTTGTGTCTGCTTTCTAACTGAAACTGAACAGCCAATGTTCACCTTTGTCTCTCGGCACCGAAGGGAAGCCGGCGGTAAATATTAATCGATTTCAAGGTGGTCCAGGTAAATGTGGATCGTCAAGCCACGTCTTGCCTGTTCACCCTGACACATACTGGAACCTCCTGATCTAGCTCTGTCTCATTTGATCAAGAGGCACTGCCATTTGACACCAATTAGAAGTTGATGTGAAGAAAATTCATGGCCCTGGAGGGAAATTTATTCTGGGCTGAAACTCCATGTGGTTTGCCAGGTATTTATTGGTACCTCCATCTTCATTCTACCAACATTCTTCTACCTTGAAGACTGACTCAGCAAGTTATTCCGAAACATCTGTATCAGATTACACTGGTCCTCACCCCCAGAAGACGGTGATCCTCGAAATCGCAGCCTTGGCATCCTCAGATCTCCAATACAGGGTCCTTACTGCGATAGAGTGAATTTCCTTTTGACACTGTTGCTCGTCCCCGGTCTGAGTCCCTGTAGTTTCTGTGCCCCAAGCAGCTGGCTTACCTAATAAACACGGACCTGCTGGCTTTGTTCTGCAACGGAAGGCGGCTTCGACGTGACCGGAAGTGCCTCGTGCCCAGCGCCAACAAACCATGGAGTGGAAGCTACACAAAGAAAACACATTCACTCGTGGTAATCTGGAGTGGATATAGTCAGTCAGTCGTATGGCAGAAACCCCAAACACTGTCTCCCGTGTTATGGAGAGACAGTGACAGTGGATATCTGAGCTGAGATAAAAGAGTATTTGTAACACGTTCATCTGTGTTAGTCTTGGTGATAGGCAGAGATGGGTGGTCAGTTTCACGCCCCGGTAGCTTTACTCCCAGAGATAGAGCCCACGGTACCCATTGTATAGGAGGCTGGTTGGGCCCCAGAGCAAGTGTGGACGACGTAAAGAACAGAAAAAGTCTCTCGCCGTTGCCAGAAATCGAAACCCGATTTTTCAGTCATCAATACTGTAGCGCGTCAGTTCTGTACGGGAGTCCGTGAAGAGAAGACTTGAGCCCGGAGGCAGAGGAATAGCCATTGTTAGAGCCGTTACCAGGAAACGTCTAGTAACAGACTGAGAACACTAGACTGTGTGCTCTAGTGAACTGTAAAGTGTGAAAATAGCGATAGTGTTATAGCTGTTTGAAGTTACGACTTGTGAGTCGTCAGTGCATCAATTCGCCAGTCCAAACCCCGTCTATAGTAACTCCAACATGTGACAATATCATGGCCTAGATGTTATACCGACCGAGCTACCTGTAAGTACTAGCTTATGTGGTTAATGCCGGTTTCAACGCAAAATTACAAGTTCAGGGACAGGTTGGTGGAACCGACCTCCCCTATAAGGCGTTCCACTTTCTTGTTTGTACAGCAAATAACTAACATTTGCACGCTGTCAAATTGTAAATAAAGTCTGAAATAATTTACAATGCATGCTGTAGGTCTACAACAAGAACGTTTGTAAACGCTGTGTTTCCTTTGTACAGTCAGTAAACGCGACGAATGCACGCACACACACATCACTGCTTAAACCATCATAAAACTGCAAAAGTGGTGTACCACTGGCTCGGTCGGTAAAATCGGCAGAGGTGAAAGGGTGACAGGAACCGCAACCTGATGAGAAGAGCTGCACTTCACGAGAGGAAGCGACAGGCAGCTGCAGATAATTATGTAATGAGCATAATACTGTCAGAACGATGGGCGGTACATCAGCACGCATGAGGGGAAATGACGCAAGAACACACAATTATAGTTGGAAAATGTTAAGATGAAAAGACACCTCAGGAAACTTAAGCTAATATTAAAAATAGGCTTCGATAAACATGGTGACAAAGTGTGGGATGGATTAAACCGCCCGAACAAAGAAATAAACGGCGATCTCTTGTGAATACGGAAATGAACATTCGCATAAGAACAAGAATTTCTTAATTACTTGTTAGTTTCCCCATTTGTTTGTAGCTTATTTAACGATGCTGTATCAACTGTGAACATTAGCGTCGAATGACTGCATGATAATGAATAAATGAATTAAAAAGAAGATGCAAGCAATCGGTCGTGGCCTATCCCAGGTTTTTCCTGGAGGGACTAAAGGAAGTCCCCCCCAGCCCAAAAAAACCTCAATCTTC